ATAATTCAAAAGCTCCTAGGTGATACTAATTATTTGAGTCATGTGGCCCTAGATACTAGTATTGAGATGGGAGAAAAGTACTCCTCCCAGAAAAATGGTCCTGGTAAATTTAGCTAACAGGGAAAGTAACTTGCACATTCATCAGTCAACTCTAGAGGGCATTATAGGTTAACAATTCAATACAGTGAATATATCAGAGTAGCAGCCTTTAGTTTTCCTGGAAGGTTAAATTTGGTTTGTTACTAGATTAATGAGACAACCAAATATGATGTAATTTTAAGAGGTTTATATTAAAAAAATTAAAGACCATCATATAAATGGGATATCAGTTAACTAATTTTATTTAGATGAACTTCCTATAAAAGCTCAGGAGATATGCTTATATGAAATTTGCTAAGGTAATAGAAATTCAGAGTCAATAGAATGATTTTTCATTATTGTATGTTTGAAGCTGTGTAAAATAGAATTTTGCCTCTCTTCTGCTCTTTTTTCTTTTAACAGGTCATTATTTTTCTGATTATAAAAGTAGCACATTCTTTTGGAGAAATTAGAAAAGACAGAAATAAGAACAAAAAAAATCTGTCTTGCTGCTCAGATAATTAGCAAATATTTTGGTATATTTCCAGTTGGAAGAAGATTTTTCTTCCTGTGCTTTATAATTACTATGGCATCATGCCCCCCTCTCACATTTTCAGCATTTCCCTGTATTTTTAAGTATGCTTTAGATTAACAAATTTGATTAATATTCTGTAATTAGATGTCATGTTATTATTCAACTAATATTCTATTATTGGAATAGAATATTCCTTTTATGTTGTTTTTTTATCAGGTATGTCCAGTTCCTAGAGTATTAGTCTGCCTCAATTTTCCTACTCAAAAGTTAGTTCACTGTAAATTTCTTGGTCCTAAACCTAGGGACTAATAACTTGGTTCCACTTCATTGATTTGTAATCCCACTGGCATGTGTAATCCCAAGGCAAAAAGTGGCAGGTACTTGAGAAACGTGTAAACTCAATTTTATCTGTAATTATTTTTATATCCTTTCATTTTCAGTAGGTCGTTTCACAGTTGTTCATTAATTCTTATGTTTCTCATTGCCTTTATTCTTCAGTAAATGTTTTTAAGCAGTTTATTCACTTCATGTAAGTTGCCAAATTAGTTGGCATAAATTTCATAACACTCTATTGCTAATACAGTTAGATCTATAATGATAAGCCCACTTGCATTTGGGGTATTTGTTATTTGTGTTTTTTTAATTTTATCAGTCTAGTTTGCAATTTGGTAATTGTAAGGGTTAACAGAAATATTAAACTACATCCTAAGAGGGAGTGCTAGCCTAATGCAACCCCCACGTGAAAAGGCCTATAAAGAGACCAGTGCTGGTAAGTAAACAGGATAGAACTAGCTACATTGTATAAGACTGAGACAGAAACGCAGAGCACAGCGCAGGACCCCTCCGTCAAAACAGCATAACCACTCCCCCTCTACTAACCCTATATAAGATTGTACCGATCCCAAATACACAGCTTCGGCTCAGCCTTCTCCCTATACTATATAAGTGGTTGTGTCGTTGTGTCCACCCTTTCCTTCTCCCTCTCATACGCCGATCACGAACTCCCCGACACCGCCTGCCGGTCGGCAGTGTCAGGTAATCCTTTAGCTTTAGATTCATTTTACAAGTTTTATTTATTTATTTATTTATTTATTTATTTTGAGATGAAGTCTGACTCTGTCATCCGGAGCAGATTGCTGTGACATCATAGTTCACAGCAACCTCATGGGCATAAGCAATCCTCTTGCCTCAGCCTCCCAAGTAGCTGGGACTACAGGCGTGTGCCACTACACCTAGCTAGTAAGGTTTAAAGCAGAGGTCCTCAAACTACGGCCCGCAGGCCACATGTGGCCCACCAAGGACGTTTATCTGGCCTGCAGGTTGTTTTTGTCTCGGCTGCCTGTCCTGTTCAGCAGCTGACTCATCCGGGGCCTGCAGTCTGGCCTTCCAACGGTCTGAGGGACAGTGAACGGGCCCCCCCTGTTTAAAAAGTTTGAGAACCCCTGGTTTAAAGTATTGCTTATATTGTACTTACATTATCATTTAGTTTAAATATTTTCTAATTTTCAGTGTAATTTCTTTTTCAGTCATAGCTTATTAGAAATGTTTGATTTTCAAATATTTGAGGGTTTTCGAGATACTAATTTCTGATTTCATTATGGAGAATATGTGATTCGGGATTTTTTTATTTATTAAGATTTATTTTATGGTTCAGCTTATGACCTGTCTTGGTAAATATACCCTGTACACTTGAAGTTGGTTAGACAGTTAGGTGAAGGTCATTAATAGTGTTTTTGCCCTCACTGATTTTTGTCAAATTAATTTGTCTATTAATTGCATCTTGTCATAATAATGATTTATGAATTTTATGATATTGTCATTATTTGTCTCTAATAATACTCTTGATCTTGAAATCTGCTTTATCTGACTTTAGCGTATCCATTTATATACAATAGATAATTTTTCACCACAGTCCAGATTTGTGGTAATCCCTATAGTTTTATAAGCACATACAAATGTAAAAGAATTATTGGTGTATTTATGACCAGCTTCTAACATTTAGTATTATGTTTCTAAACAAATTCATCCAGGTTATTGCATGTAGTTGTAATTCTTTTTTTTTTTATTATCTAGATATGGATATGTTGGATCAAAAGTTATTCATATTATAACATTTATTAGATAATATCTAATTGCTTTGCAAAGTGGTGGTGTCTTGGTGAACAACTCCCCTGCTGAAACTCTTTTTATCTTTGGAATTTTTAATTTGTGCCAAGCTTGTAGGTATAAATTATATCCTATGATTTTAATTTGATTTTTGATGACAAATGAGATTAAACTTTTTTCCCATTACTTGGCTTCCTGTTCTGTTAAATGCCTGTTTAAGTCTTTTCTTATATTCAACTGAGATTTTTAGAAGTTGATCTTTTAGGAATGCTTTATGCTTCTGGCTACTAATTCTTTTTATTTCAACACACTATAAAGGGGTACAAATGTTGTTATATGGATACCCTGTGTAAGGCTTATGTTGGGGCTTTTAGTGTGTCCATCACAAGAATGGTGTTCATTGTATCCAATAGCTAAGGTTTTAGCACTCACCCGCTCCAAGCCTACCCCTCCTTGTTTTAGAATGCCCTTAGCATCTCTTTGTGCTCACATGTGGCTACCACTTAGATTCCAATTATTAGGAAGTATATGTAGTGTTTGTTTTTCCATTTCTAAGATACTTCTCTAAGGATACTTCTAAGTCTCTGCAAAAGGCACTACCGTAGAACCTCTGTAGCTTGTGGGTTTTGAGTTTTTTATGGAGCATTTGTAGAGGTCATTAAAATTAAGAAATTTAAATTTCCTAGTAGTTTTCTTTAAGTTTGCATCTTTTATCAATAAATGTTCTGTCCATCTCCTCAAAAGACCCAGTATTTACAGAGAGGTGGTTCATTTATTTTCCTGTCATGCAAAATCCCACCAATGTTTTATTCTATACCTATCTCAAGAGCCCCTATGAATTAGTTGAGAAGAATTAGTAGGAATTTGATGTTTTCCAAATTCTAAAAGTCGGGATTGAGTATTTTGTTACCCATTACTGTGACCACATGTGTAGTTCCCAACTTTTGTACCCTCAGGAAAGAAAGTATTTGCAAATTCTGAAGTTCGTAGTTACCTTGAGTTCTTTATGTGTAAAGAGGAAATATGTCCAAGTGGTGCAAATAGATTTCAAAAAAAATTATCTGTAAAGATTCTTAAATTTATTTAACAAACTCTTAGATAGTACCAAATCTGTGCCAAAAGCTTTGGAAATAGTGTCTTGCTGGGTTCTCATAGTGACACTGTGAAATAGGTACCATTAACCCCTTTTTTTCAAATGAGGAAGTTGAGACACAGATATGTTAAGTAACTTGTCCACACTGCTAGTAAGAGGTAGCTAGGATGGAAGCCCAGCATTTTTGGTTGAGTCCTATGCTACTCTGCTCATTCTCTTAGTTTAGAAATTTTCTATATATTATCTGCATCAGTATTCAAAATTAAATTCTAACACTAGTTGTTCCTTGATCATGTTATGCCTCAGTTTCCTTACTATAAAATAGGTACAATAACAATATCTAACTGGTAGAGTTATGATGATAAATTGAAACATATAATGCATTTGGAACAACTCCTGGTACATCTATAGCAAGCATTCAGTAAATTCTAGTTTTTCTCCTTTTCATACTCCTCCCCTACATTATTATATTGTTATTCCTGTTGTTCTGTTAATAAGAAAAAAACCAAACTGTGTAAAATAATAAATTAAACAGGATACAGTGGCTTGGACCCGTAATCCCAGCACTTTGGGAGGCCAAGGCAAGAGGATTGCATGAGGCCTTGAGTTTAAGACCAGAGTGGGTAATAACAAGTCTCTCTACAAAAAAATACAAAATGTGGCCAGGGGTGGTGGTGTAGACCTGTAGTCCTAGCTACTCAGAAGGCAGGAGGATTGTTTGAGCTCAGGAGTTTGAGGTTGCAGTGAGCTATGATACCAATGCATTTTAGCCCCTATAAAGAAAATCAGTAAAATATGTGAGTGAAAAATAGTGGCTGTCCCTGAGAGGGAGAGATGTAGAGAGTCTATAAGATAAAAAAAAAAAAAAAAAAAGGGAGAATAGGAGAGGCTAGATTCAGTAAATTTAAAAAGTTAATAGGGGCCAGATGCGGTGGCTTATGCCTGTAATCCTAGTACTCTGGGAGGCTGAGGCAGAGCAAGACAGACCTTGTTTCAAAAATTAACCCGGTGTTGTGGCAGGTGCTTGGAGTCCCAGTTACTTGGTAGCTGAGGCAAGCTTGGGCTTAAGCCTAAGAGTTTGAGGTTGCTGTGAGCTGTGACACCATGGCACTCTACCAAGGGCAATAAAGTGAGACTGTCTCAAAAAAAAAAAAAAA